GCAGGTCTTCAAACAATTAAAGAGTTACTGTGTAACCCAAAAATGTCACTTCCAGGTATATGCCGAAGAGAAGTGGAAACATACGTCCATAGGAAATCCTGACCACAATTGTTCATAGCAGCATTGTTTATAAAAGCCAAAATACAGAAACAACCCAAATACCCATCAGCTGAGGAACGGATAAGCACATCGTTGTTATACCCACACAAAGGAATATGACTCAGCCGTAAAAAGGAATGACATGTGGATGCATGCTACGGCATAGATGAATCTTGAAAACATGATGCTAAATGAAATAAGCCAGACACAAAAGGCCATGTATTGTACGAGCCCATTTATATGAATATGAATTTCCAGAATAGGCAAATCCAAAGAAATAGAACGTAGTTTAGTGGTTGCCAGGGGCTGGAGGCATGGATATAGAAGGTGATTATTAATAGGTAGGGGGCTTCTTTGTGGTATTGAAAATGTTCTGGGCCCAGCTGCGGTGGCTCACACCTGTAATCCCAGCACTTTGGGAGGCCGAGGTTAGCAGATTGCCTGAGATGAGGAGTTCGAGACCACCTTGGCCAACATGGTAAGACCCGTCTCTACTAAAAATACAAAAAGTTAGCTGGGTGTGGTGGTGGGCACCTATAATCCCAGCTACTCGGGAGGCTGAGGTAGAAGAATCACCTGAACTCGGGAGGCAGAGGTTGCAGTGAGCCAAGATCACGCGACTGCACTCCAGCCTGGGCGACAGAGCAAGACTCTGTCTCAAAAAAAAAAAAAAAAAAAGAAAATATTCTGGAATTAGTGATGATGTTTGCATAACTCTGTGAATATACTAAAAAACATGTAATTGTATGATTTAAAATGGTTAATTTTATGGCATGTGAAATATATCTTCATTGTTAAAAATATAATTTATTTACAATGAACGAGTTCAGTCTTCTGGTAGAAAGAACCCACTCTGAGAAAGTAACTTTAATTAAAGGTGGCTACCTAACTGCATCTCCAAATTAAGGTACAGTTGGAGTACCTGGGCATCAGACCTAGCAATGCTCTCTGCTTCCTTGCTAAAATGAAAATATTTCCCAAATGCCACAAAATTGTTTTTAATATATCAAATCTTTTTGCAGGACAAAGGCATTGTGGTATAATATGAACCATATTTGGTCTTTGACCTTGGTTCCTGTCACAGAGCTCCTGAAATCCTTAGAATTTACTAACAGTAGTGTCTTTTGCTATTCATAATGAGCCCTCTTTCATGACACCTGAGTTTTTGCTAATGAGTGACTTAGGGCAGGCCCCTAGATAGCTTCGGGAAGGGGCAGGTCACAAGAAAATTCTCAGATGGTCAAGTCTCTGATTTAAAAAAAAAAAGCCATAATATTTACATATAACCCACACACATTCTCCTGTGTACTTTAAGTCATCATCTATAAGTACCATTAAGTACTTATAATACTTAACACAACGTAAATGCTATGTAAACAGTTGTTACACAGGTTGAGTATCCCTCATCCGAAATGCTTGGGATGACAAGTGTTTTGTGTTTCAGACTTTTTTCAGATTTTGGAATTTACATAATGAGGTATCTTGGGAATAGGACCTAAGACTAAAGAGGAAATTTATTTATGTTTATATACACCTTATACACATAGCCTGGAGGTCATTTATACAATGTGTATTTTTAATTCTTATTTATTTATTTATTTATTTATTTTTTTATTTTTTTATTTTTTTTTTGAGACGGAGTCTCGC